GAATCTTGCGTAGGGTTATTGAAATTCCCTCAGAAGCCTTGAATTCCTTCTTATCGATGCTGCAATCACCGTTCACATCACTACTTCCCCTTTTTTCATGCATTCTTCTTAGCAGTCATCCTCGTAACTTTATTCAGGAATAAACAGACATCGAATCTAATTTGACCATTTAATTACTATCCGGTGGAATAATGGGAGCGTACTTGACTGACTGTAGTGGTGTTGAAGGATGAAGCAGCAGTGACTGTCTTCTGTTGTATCCTCTTATCACATATGTTGCTCATTTCAATTTGTAGGAGGAGATTTTTTTTAAACTTCAGTTGTTATAAAGGCTAAACTAATTATTTGATGCATTTCTCCAAAGTGAGTTCAAGCTTATTGGTAACCATTGTGGAAAAGCCAAGAAAAACACAAATATTACTTATGTTACTTACAAATATATTTAGAATCCTTATTGTTTCCTTTTTATTATTAATTTTGTTGTAAAAAGCTTACAATGCCTCTTTTAAAAGTTACCGCTTCCCACCACTGCACGAATTAAAACAAAAGAAAAATTTAACACAATGTTTTATGGTTTTCATGGTGATTTTACTTCTTGAATAAGCCAAGCTTGATCAAATAGTCTAAAGCTAAAATAACCTATTTTATTTCATACTTTTTTTTCCATTGCACCTGTTGTTGATATATTCACCTTCAGTCGGTGAAAGAAAACAACCGATTTTTCTGTACACTCAGTTTACGCAATAACATGTAACCCTATTTCGCATATAATGATAGTAATAATAATAAAAACCGAGGAAAATGCTCAATTATCTATCGGCTTTTCGCTTATTTGAATATCTGTCTCAATGTTTGTGCTTTATAGTATTTACAAGTGAAAAAAAGCACAAGAATGAGTGTAGCCTCCATCGTGAAAGTGATAACTGGTTAATTGAATAAAATATTACCAGATTCAAGCTGACAGTCTTGCTTAGAAAAACTCATCAAATATTTCTGCACATAGTTTTTTAGTTTGATTATCAGTAGTTTGGCAGATTTGTACTGATACTGGGTGGTGATTGAAGGTGAAGTGAAAATTTTGGCATTGGCAGAATTTGAACCAGTGGCCCTATCGGGTTTTCGACTAAGCGCTCTATCAACAAGGCCCCACTACTGACCAGATTTTATTTCATTTTAGCCATCAGAAGTTTTGCCCAACAGCCATGTGTATTCGTGACATTTTACTATCGCTTGATCGTACTCACACACGTATCATTTGTCAGCATTATGGACTGTCTTTGCAATGCCAAAATGTATGCTTTTCGTCATCACTATAATTGAATATGATATTCTCTTTTTCTAATTTTGATGCATAGCTATAATTGACTGGGAAACAGGTAAGCTTAGTTAGATTAGAACAACGTCAAGTTTTTTCTGTTTTCACTGTTAGCATTATGTATTTATGTTCACATTCGCATTCCGTACCATGTTTATAATCTTTGTAAATAAAAGTCCAAAAATACCCGGAAATTAGTTTTTAATTAAAACTTCAAGACCAACAGCTCTATTTTCCGCACTATAGTTCCACTAAAAAGTCACTGCTAATAACATGAGCGTAGTTTTTATGTGAATATATATTTAAATATGCTGGTAAGTTAACCGTTCTTTCTCATTTAGAATTCTTACCTTTTGTCGTCTTCATGTATACTAAATGCACAAATATTGGTATTAATCCCCACATATGTACAGTGTTTGAATATCTTAGCTATAATTTGTTTATTTTTGTAGTAGTTCTTAATTTTGCATGTTTTTATTTTACAAAAATCTTTCGAAGTTTCACTCACTGTTTTCCTCTTCCGATTTTTACTTTTTACACATTGCTGCATGCATAATCTAATGTTGTAGCCTAGCCAACGTTTTTAAATTTCATTAGCTATTACCGTATATATTTGCCACCTTCATGGTGTGACCCTCTTTCGATTTCTTCAGTAGAATACGTGTATTTTCTTTTGATTTGCTCAGGCAATTATCTTTGTATTGATACTTGTAATTTTCCGTTACTAAACTGAGTTGAATTGTTCTGCCTCTCGGCAGAAGGACTCCTATGCAAGGGGAAATTACAAACATTCATTAAACAATAACTGATACCAGTTGAACAAATGGTGTTTATCGTGCCCAAATGACCTAGTGGACAACGCTGTGCCATTTCAAGCGGTGGGTACTGGGTTTGAGTCTCGCTGAGAACATCACACACTTGGGTGCAGTTATAGCCAGCTGGCGAGTTCTAAATCGCACGAAGCGTGCTTCTTGGATTCCACTGTCAGCCATCAGATACACTATGGTGCAAGCGACTAATTACACTATTTTCATAGCCATCAAAAATAATATTTTTGAAGCATCTTTATTAGACCTTCTAGTAATAATAAAGTTGATTGCATTGTAATGGTGGCTTTCTAAATATCCTTTTTAAAGAATGACGTGACAATGTAGAATCATGAGTGGTATTCTAATTTTTTAAACATAGTTTGCCAACCTGTGGCTTTCCATTTGCATCAATGAATACAATCACAGTAAGCTATCGAGGAATATCATTTTATATGTGAAAACCATGACTGAGGTTGAAACAAATTATTTTATTTCGAAGCGAAAAGTTGTATTGGGCAATATTGTGGCATTAGCCAAATGTATTAACGAACACAGAATTTCTCATTTTCAGTCTATCATTTTGTCGTCCAGATGCTATTTTCCTATCGGGAAGTAAAACAAAATAAATAGTGAATCCAGCCTGCTTTTATGGCGATATACTCAATTTTTATTTGAAACACATTTTGTTTTTCTATGAAATATGTTTTCCCCTTGACGAGTAAAACCTTCTACTTGTTGACTGGGAAAAATTGGAGCTAGGAAAAAGTATCCAGTACATTTACGTCTCTATACTGAATTAAATGATAGTAAATCCACAACCTTTTAGAGTCCGGCAGATTTTATGCGGAATATTGAACTTTAAGATGAATATCTTAGCTACCTTCTTCTCACTCCACAAGACTCATATGCACTTGTTGATCAACAACGCTTCTTATCGAACTAAAATCTCCAGTCAAACAAAACAAACTGTAGTATTTAATTTCGATATAAGTATGAGCATTGAAGTTATGCATAAGTGACACTGACTAATGAAAAGTCGCAAAAGTCATGCTTTATCGTTTATTGAGTACATCACTATTTTATATAGACTGTACAGTATTATTGCAAGCGGGAAATTTCGCAAATTGAATCTAGCTTATTGATAGCATTAGATCAGTTAATATATCCTATGTTCATAAGTTAATTATAACCAGATTATGTGAATCACTTTAACAGTAGACACTCTAGAGTGTATATCCGTGTTTGTACGTATATATATATATATATATATATATATATATATATATATATATATATATATATATATATATATATACAGAAGTATCTGTACTCCAGTTCGCTTATCCACATAAGAGACAACAATTAATCCTCTGATTATAAATCCCTAAAATGCCATTTGGGATAGAAGAAAAGGAGAGCTGAGTAGCCGATAAAGGTAATCTGGGTCATCAGTAAAAGATTGTTTCAGGTTATATACTTATCTGTAGCTGCATCATATTGTGTATTATATATATATATATATATATATATATATATATATATATATATATATATTAACAAAAAACTGTTTTTGTTAGAAAAGAGTAAATATACTTTAACTTGACCGGACTACAAGCATCAATACCAACGTGTATAAAAGCAGCGAACTTATAATAATCTGGTCATCTATCAATTATGCACTAGACTAGCATAATTCCAATGGTACAAACAGTCAATAGAGTTAAATTATACAATAAACATCTACCAGCATTTGGGTTTGTTGGGTGTGTTCCACATCATTTAACGATGTACAAAGACAATCTAAAGTACACAAATCCTGAAAATGTAGACCCCAGAAAACAATATGATACATCGATGATTTGTTATTGATATTTCTTAATTGAAGTAGAGAAGAGCTTGAAGTAAAATCTTGGTAAATGAAAATTGACTTGTTTCTTTGAAATTGAAGTCGCTTTATACTAGGGATTTAGAACATCGTATATCCGAAAAAACGTAATAAATCAGGCTGTGTAACAATTGTTCTCGGTTATTGGCGGAATCTGTTTTTCAGACGTCATATTTCAGAATAATATCATCTCATACTTTTTTACTGCATTCTCTAGTGAATCCATTTTAGTGTAGTATTCATCATGGACTGATATCAGTTGTAGAACCATTGAAAACCGATGCGCACTGAATAGATTTGTCGTCCTAGCATGCTACTTCTCAACAGTGTACAACCGCACCTTCTCTGGGGGTTGGACTTAAGGCCTTCAGATCTAGCTTCGAGTATGTCAGCATTGAGCCACTTGGTTAGGATACAATGTTCCACATTTTCCTACTTCGTTTGATTCATAATATATCACGACCTTCCTTCAGACAGCAATTCACTATGTAAGTTTGTGGGGATGGATTCGGTTACAACCCAGTGCTTTAATGAAAAGGTACTCTCCTCGAAAATCGACAGTTCTGTGCTCGATCCATGAAGAGGATATTGGTGTGCACTGCTTAAGATTAGCATACTAGGAGGAAGCAGTTGTTTAGTGCCCCTAGGTTTTCAACGGTTCTCCAGCTAAATTCATTCTAGTTTCGACTTTAACTCCTCCTTTCTTCAGGATTCAAGTCGCAGATATTACTAATGTTAAAATAACTAACATATATTTCCTGGATTACAGACTTAGTTGATCTCTGCAGTCTATAGTGTAATCTTCTTTCATAATTTGATGACCAGTTTATAGATGTAAGTTATCTTCTTATATCTTTTTCAGGATTTAGGCTAGAATTCATTTACCCTATCTGCAGCAGATATTCAGTTAAACAACTCCTCTACACATCTATTCAACTCATTCTTTGTAAATAAAAATATTTTTCAAATTTGTTTTTTTTTATGAATTTAGTCCCGAGTAGTCTGTTTTCACGATTTACCCAGCGTTCAGACAGTGTAGCCAGTACTGTTAAGCGTAATTCACTGTTACCTAACAGCAAAGATGGAATTCCCAATCTGTTGAATCCGCGTAAATCACTTGGTTTAGTGGAGACTGGTAAACCAAGATTAGGCCAGCAGACAAGAATCAAGATTACAATAACAGAAAGCACCGAATTCAAGGTAAATTCATCAAATGTTTATTGTTATTGTTGTTTTTACATGTTTATTGTTTTTTACTGAATTAATGTTAAAGTAATTGAGGGTTTTTTTTTATTTTATACCTATCTGCTTTGATAATTTCGTCTGGGGAACTAATTCTGTAGGAATAGTAACACATGGTTCATTAACTAATTTACTTTTGGTTGGTCTGGATGTTACTTAACTCTCCAGTATTTCACGCTGACACCATGTATATTCTCATGACTACAGATAAACCTATCAGCAAACTGTTTAAAGCCAATAACAAAGATATGGTCGTTTCCTATCGTCTAAGTGCTAAAATTTCTTTCACATACACCTGATAGTGTATCGATGATCCCGTATCTGCTTTCGATATTCTTCAGAATATCTTACATTCGTGTACGTGTACAGTAACCTGAAATATATATATATCTAGCTCAGTATCAAACCTCCTATAGCTTAGCTAGCCAATCCTCGTTTACTGACTTATATGTTAAAGGCCAATCAAGCCAATGCATGAGTCTACAATAATGACCAAAGTGACCAAAGTTTAAGGACTGTGCTCATCTTTGACGTGATTTTAATTGATAGAAGTTTGAATTTCATCGAGGAAAGGAGTATCATCAAAAACTGTAGTCACGCCTTACAAGTGACTGTTCACAAGTATAAGGCTTATGCGCATGACTACATTTTGACTGACTGATTGGTTGACTGACTGACTGACTGACTGGGATTGTTTACATATATGCCTATATATAAGTAGTTAGTTTCTTGGTAGTATTGCATTTTCTTAGCTGACTGCTGTGTTTGTGAAGCCTTCACTGTTTTTCTAGGCAGACAATGAAAGTTTCCCAATTAAGTTATACTAGCTCAGAAAACGCAACTACCTGAGCTGATCCTCTCAAGATGCAAATAATCTACATCACATACTTAATTTGCCTATCTTTCTTCCTAACTGCACTTTTGCTATCACTATAATTCATTGTAGCTGGATTTTAAAAGAATAGAGAAACAGAGTACTTTTGTCAAGTAACTATTGCATTTTCTACTTCAACTAAAATTTTAAGAAATGAATGTTAAGGGGAAAAATTTGCCGTCTTTTCTTCAACTTATACGTTCATTATTGTTGCTGACAGTATTTTTGACCCCTTTAGAGATATTATGTAAATCTAATTGAAAACAGTATTGTTCACTTATATGCCTTGTTCTATTATGTAAATGTTTGGCGTATTGTTTCTTTTTCTCTCTTAAAATTTCCTCTTAAAATATTTTGTTTGATTATCATTCTGAAAATCTTCAAACAGTTTATACTTCCTGCTTCCTGAATCAGGTTTATTTCATTGATTTTGCGAAACTGTCCAGTTTTACGCCTCACTTTCTGTAATATTGTTTTATTTCGAAAAAAGATGACCTCCACATTGTTTCATATCACATCCGTCCGCTTTACACATGAATTTCCTCAATATCATTATTCCTCAACAGAAGACTTATTCTGATATTCTGTCATTTGTCATTAAATTTCATACTCCAAAAATGTTAATTATAGCCATTGGGATGCAGTTGGAAGTCACAGCGATAACTCATAATAACCTTCCTCTAATCGTAGTGGTCATGACAAGACGCTCCACCTCATAACTTACGGAGGCTGGAATTCCCCAAGGTGCTGTTTGTTCCCCATTCTTCTCTCTTTCTCTCTGAGTGACTTGTTATCTTCCTCTAGTTTCAATGTTGCTAAATTTACTGATAATCTAGTAGTTTCAATAGTTGCCACTCCATTAGACTATTTTTAAGTAAATGATTTCCCACCTACCATTAGACAATGGTCCTCCGTGAATGGTCATTTGGTATGTCTGGTATATATCTGGTATACTTAGCCTCTTCTTTTGTTTCATAAACTCCTGAATCTTGCCTATTGTCTCCTGTTGTGTTCATATATTCCCTCCCTTATTGATAAAAAAACTATTCTGTATTGTGTAGAACTTTGAAGATTGTCAGCAAAATTACTAGCTTGTCTCAAACCTTTCTAATTCATATTTTTATGAACAAACACCTTAACCCATGTAAACAGCTGATAAGAGTTATTTTATCAAATGACTGGTATCTTTGTCACTCAAAGCTTTCTACAAGCCAATCCTTAGCCAAAATCAGGAGCAAATACATAAGACTTCATGCATGTACTATTAGATAAAAAGCTTAACCTTGCCTGATTTAGTTCGTATCCTTTACGATGAAGAAAGTGTTAGCAGTGAGCCCAACCAGTCAACTTTTTTGATAGCAAGTGAATTAAAAATTACATAGCCTGCTGTTATTTATATATTGTGCATCTAAGTGTTATCATGACTATATACCCAAGTTTACTCTTACAAAAAATTCGTGAAGGGAGTGAATATTTCTACTTTTACTTCATTTAATTGATATTTCTCCTTACTTTTTCCGTTCAATTGGTGCTACATGAGATACTAACAATTCTGAAGAGTATCCAGGAAATATCTTTCAGGATGAAGCTATTATTATTTGAATATATATAACAATACTAGTCAAAGCACGTCTGTTTATCACGTTCCGCAGCTGTTTATTCCATATAACCAAAACCTTCTTACAAGCAGATTTCACTTGGGTTCTGATAATAGGCTTTCTAACTTGTGGTCGAGTACAATTTCTTCTAGGTTTTATTCTCATTCACCACTATGTATGATGTCGAAACAGATAAACGTAACTATTTTATCGTCTGAAGGTAGTCATCACAACATTCTTAAGTTCGAACTAATCAGAAAAAGGAAGGTGAAAACACATAAACATAAAAGTACTCTTATGAACAATGAAATTTCATCCAAAAGTAGATAATTTTCCCCAGTTGGCTGAATAATTTGAATTCCTGGATGTATTTTTCTATACCTAGTGGCTGCATTTTACTCCGTAGACCGTGAGGGTTTTATGGCAGTGTATCTCATTGAAAGACGTGACGGGTTAGTTTATAACCCTGTCAATGACACTGGATTGGAACACCAAGAGCCGTGATAGAGCCTATGGTGGGGGTATCAAAAAGGTTTTATCCTTTAAGGATATCCACTTTTCATTTTTTTTATGTTATGCACGTACTCTTGGATGTCTCATTTGTTGTCCGACTTTCCAGGACAAACCTTACCCCATGAGACATTTTAGAGATGTGAGGTATGCAAGTGACATTATCCTGTAAGGTGAAGATCCAAAGCCTTCTGAACTCTAAGTAGCAATTTGAGAATGAGTTTATTACCACCCTAAAGCAAATCGTTACTTAGGACTAGTCTTAAACGGTGTCTTGTCTAACAGTAGGGAGGGAAATGGTTGAGTGCTTCACTCTCCTAGGAAGTCAGATCAACCCTGATGGATCAGTGACAGAGAACATCTGCACAGATGCAAAAAACCCACTTGGATCTTGTCAAACTGGGCCATTTATTTTAGCGCCGTCATATCCAATTTCCTGTTGGGGGCCAAGGACGCTTCACCGTAGTTCTCTTTGCTCTTCAATATGGCTGTGAAACATGGTTGTCAAACATAGAGGATGTGACGAGGCTCTAAGAATGAAACCACCGTTATCTTTGTAGCATTGTCATGTGTTATGGTGCCACCACGTCAGTAATGTAGAAGTCAGGTGCAGAGTTTTAGAAACAAGTAGTAAGCCAGTTGATAAAGACATCAGTCTTTGACTGAGGTTTTTGAAACATGCCTTACGCATGTCCAGTCACTATCTATCCCGTCCCAAAATAGTTGCTAAAGTAAGCTTTAGGTGATCGGAGGTCATATATGAGCCATTCAAACCTTGGCACCTTTCTGTGCAATCTCTGACAGTTGGTCTGGGCCGTGTAAGGGAATGTTAACTTCCTTACTAAAGTCTAAGTGACAAAGGAAACCACGGATGGAAGACTCTAGATGATACTGCTCAGAATCGATTTCACTGGCGCAGATGAACCTACATATTGTATTTATCCTAATCATCAATCGGAATTTCATTATTATTTCACTCCCTCTTCTCTGGTTATGACTTTCTACAACTTTTGATTACTTTCTTTATTTTTCTGTCTTCTACTTGTGTGCTTATTACCTTGAGATCCTGATATTAGGTATAGCAGCTAGGAATATAATGCAGTAATTCTGGTTCCTGTCTGGATTCTGACCCACTAATTTGGACCAAGGTTATTTTTTATCTAAAATATTTAGTTCGCATTTACTTCCTGTGTATTTATTCCTCTGATATAAATTCCAACCACTGCAATAGTTTGCTAGTTATATGCAAGGTTGTATATGATTCGGATAACAACACATCGACTGAAGAATGTCGACATTCACCCCTAAATCCAAACACGTTAGCGTGCTTTGCGTTTATTAATGGCACATATTTATAGCAGTACAATTTTCTCTTAGTCCTGTTTTGCACAAGATAGATGACATGTTTTATCAGAAGATATCTGAGAAGGAAATTTATTTCACCTTCATGAAAGGATGAAGTAAAACTATTTTCTCATGAAAATTTAAGCGTGATGTAAACATTTCCCTTTGGATCAGAATTCAGAATGTAATTCAAAATTGATTTTTATCACGGTTTATTAACTTCAATGAATATTTATTTTGTTATGATTTTTCAGTTAACATTCTGGTGTTATTATTCATTAAATCTTGTACACATTGTCGCTAGATCCCTCATGAAGCTTCACTCATACTGTTTTGGTCAAAAACTATAGAAACTTAATTACTCCCTTGTCCAAGTGGTTTTCTGTAAACTGACCGTTTCATTGAAACGTCTTCTCTATGACTTGTAGGTTGATTGTTTTTATGTCTATAGTCCAACACAACACAAGCAAGGTTCGATAAAGTATTTATTCCAATGGATCCAGCGTATTTGTACAGACGCCTCAAAGACGAAGACAAGAAAATATTAGAAGTTGGATATCCGTTGAGGTTTATAAAATATTGTGAAAATCAGCCATTTTTGAAGCTCAATCTGTATTTCTTTTCTCAAAGAA